ATACTAAACTGGACACAAAACTGATTGGTTTCACCAGAAGGTATACCATATTCAGTGCAGAACACATTGTCGTATAGTCTCAAGAAGGATATGGAGATATTGAACAGCATTCAATCTCAAAGTCTGTCTATAAAACAATTCAAAACAGGAGCAGAGCAAACACAGGCCTTTGAAACATCAGAGGTTGGATCAGGTGCCATGAAGGAGTGAGCATCCCCAGCTGACCGTTCACACCCGTGATCTGGAAATAACGGAAAAAATCCGTCGTCAATTCAGTGTATAAATAATAGACTCACAATTAGTATGAAAAACCTCAATCAGCATTTGACTCAATGATAAATTATATTTGCTGATAAGGTCATTGTATCGACCATAGAACTTACGAAATGAAGACTTTAAACGAGACTGTTGATATTCTTGTTTCATCAACTTGCTTGTCAATAATTAACGTCGTTTTAGAAATTGTTCAAACGTAGAGGATACTCTTACGTATCGAACCAACTGAGATATATACACTACGTATGCAGGTGATGAAGGTATATTGCTGCATAAGTAAGGGATGTTGACGATAGAAAAGTTAAAGTCATCACGTTTATCATATAGCTTGGTTGTTATATTACCATTGACGTCTTTTTCAAGTAAAATATTCAAGTATGAAACAAATGTGTCAGACTCTGTGGTAATAACTTTTTGCTTTTCTTGAGGAATATCCAATGTAAAATGCATTGCTTTGACGTTTGTAGTTATGATTAGTTAACACTTAGAGTGGATTCGACTCTTTTACAAAAAAATCATTTTGAAAGCAAAAAAGAGTTCCTAAATAAATAACACTTTTATAAGTAAAAGAAGTATATAATTCAAGAACATCAGATGTGGAAATGATTAATGTTTCTGTTAAAATTTGAACAGTTTTAAAGGATAGAAAAATCAATGCAATTAAAACGACGCTGTTATTCCTCATGAAAAACATTTATGTAGTCACTGGAGACCAGGTGTGCCAATAAACTTTCGGAAACTCAGATGGACACGAATTGATCTTCCTTAATAGCTCAACTGTTTAATATTTTACTTTGAAGCATAATTTATTCAAAAACGCCTATACAACAAGAAAAAAAACCTTTGCTTGGCTTCTTTTAAATTGACATTTACATATATCAACTGTGTTTTCATTTTTATTGATTAGTAATACTTTAATTTGTATAATGATTGATATACCCCAGTGAACTTGAAATAAAATACAGTGTAGACAAAAAATCTTTACACCTGTTTCACGTTTTGAGTACGAGCAGCTTTAAAACCAAGGCAGCCTTAAGCTTATGCCAGTACAGCTTATGTCATATGCATTGAAACATCCTCTTTTAAAGTCAGCGTTTCATGAATTTTTTTTTTATCGTTTTAATGTCCTTGTTAACAAATAATACCTATCATTGGGTTGTATTTTGATAACTTGATTCATACCTTCTGTTGTGCATCCATTTTGATACTAAATAATTTGACTACGGAAGGTTCCGTCTTCCTGACAGATACATAGGGTTCACATCGGGCATGAGCGTTCGAAAGGAGATGCTTACTCTTTATTGGCATCTGATCCCACCTCTGGAATCTCCAAGATCCGTGTTTATGTTTTCTTCACAGATTTGTATTGTTTAAGGATTTTCTTTAGATCTTCACTTTTTTCACAACAGTTTTAATGTATCTGAATGTTGGCATTTTCAATTAAAATAAGATATTTTCTGCCTGAAAATATGCTGTTTTTAATAATCTATTTAAAAGATAAGGCACCAAAACAGCTTTAAATTAAAACAGTAGAATTTAAATTTTTTTTTTTTTTTACACTTGCAACAATTCTGAAGAAGTTATCTTAAATTCTTAAGCAATACATATTTTTATTTGAAAAATCTATTTTCGGTTTTTCTCACTGTAATTCTAGAATTATCAAGTAAAACTAAACAGTTTATTTTTCAATGGGTTATTTTTCATGCATGCGTTATCAACAGTGTTTAAGTACAAAAAGAACAAAACAAATTGATTGTCTTTTTCTCTTTTTATTCCCGGTTATCATTCTCAGGGTATTCAAGGAAAAAAACATGAAAGGTAGATAAAATATTGCCAAAATTAAAATAAATTTATTTGGAAATTACGCACTGCAGGCTTTGCGTTTAGAGATAAAACAATTTTATCACTCTTTAAAATGAATTTAACTATATGCATTATAGGCTAAGAATCACAATGAATGGTTAAATTAAATTATATTTATCAATCATGGATTACATTCATGACATTAAATTGAGTTTAACTTTTGAAATATAAATGTTCTAACTTTTTGAAATAAAAGGTTGTTCGGTTACATATTACATACATGTAGTAAAAAGCACATGCATATATCAAAGCAATATGAGCTGCATTTTTGACGTGGGAAAATTTTGTTGTAAATTTGTAATTAGCTATTTCCATGAAAGAAAAACAGAACATTTATAAACTTTTTTTTAAAAAATTCTTCATATTTGCGATGGAAGAGCTTTTTGTAAGCTTTAATTGAAGCAAAATTACATTATTGTCGTCCTGTACAATATTGATTTCCTATATAATACTATATACCGGGGTTAATCCAAAAGTAATGTCACAACTTCGATGAAATCGCTACCCGTCGACGTAAAACAACAAAATTACAAATGATGAAAGCTACAGTTATTTCAAATCAGACCTGAAAATTTCAATTCAACATGATTTATACTTTTCAAAATATCGGATTATATACAACGTGCGATTATGGTAGTCGCCGCACCTAAATAACGTCATTTGACGGATACGCGCCGTCATACATCTAAACGCTTCCCTTAGTTTCATTAAAAAATATTTGAGATTTGATATCCACGAACACGTTCACAAATTTCACTTTCTTACCCTTGGTACCTATCGTTCACTCACTCTTTTCATGATTAATTCTGTCAAAATTCATTGAACCAACCTAAAATTTCACATATCGCTCTATCCGTCTTTCTTTTTGACAACGTCACACACCATTGAACATTTCCGTCCGCCCTCCCATCTCTCGGTTTTCTTGTCATCTGCTGAGCATTCAATGACCCATAACCCACCCTAAATCGCTGAAACCATCTAAACAAGTCTCTTATTTACATTCTTTCCTCAGAGAAAGTCTGGTGAATCAACGTAACTGTCTCTACTGGCGATTTCTCCAATTTGAAGCAAAAATGCATTACAAGTTTGTTTTGGCTTTTTTTGTCCATTTTGACATTTCCTTTTTTCAATGCACCGGAATAAATCAAGGATGTTTTTCACCAAAAATAGCAGTGATGTCATATAATTGTCAATTTAAGACTAGAGAAAATGATGTAAATTTTTGTCTTTTAAAGTATTTTGCGTTTAGGCGCTTTTAAAAGATGCTTTTTAATGTGTTTGTCTTTTTTATGCTAATAAAAGTACACTTTAATTTGTGACGTTCGGTTTTGACGCGGCGACACCCCGTATGTTATATGTTTTAAACATCTATAAAATAAATTCAGTTAAACATTATTGAATGAAAAATTAAAGTTTAATTAGATTTATATTTGTGCATCTTTTGGTATATTATATTTGATAATATGACGCCAAATATAAAAGATATGGACACTGTGACATTACTTTTGGGTCAACCCTCGTATTTGATTGTACGGAAATATTTCCTCTGAAACATTTTTAAACTTGATTTTGGCTCTATTGATTATAAGTGTTCAAAGTACATACATATTAATCAAAATAACATATTTTGCCATCAAAATAAATTTTTCAAAAATGCAGCTCATATTGCTTTAAAGGCGACAGATCATAAAAACAAAAGTTTTCTTCTAAAATAATAAACTGCACGATTAATTTATATTTCATAAGTAAGATAAATGAACATCTGCATGAAGAACATATTTCAATCAAAGATTCTAAATAATATCCTCTAGTTTGACAAGAACTATATAGCTACAGGGGTGGTGACGAAAAGAAAGACATCAAAACATTATAGTAAGTCTATATATACGGTTTCTTCTTGATATAATGCAACACTTACAACAAAGTTAGTCTACATATATAAACGACCCAGTAATCCATATATTGTTTGTAGCATGTTTACTTGAATACGATTCTTACTTTTAATTAATAAATGTCATCGATATTTTTAGGTGTCATCGTGACTTTCTTTATCTTTCTCCCAATCGTGTCATGTTGGTAATTAGTCCCTAATAGATATTAATACCCATGTTTTGATATATTTCAGAACCGTGTGCTGTCTACCTACCTACCAATCCGCTAGTATTTAATATTGAACCACCTTTGGTGGGTTATACAAGGACGTCATATTAACAACCATTTACAGACCATAAAGCAGTCCCATATGTTCCTTTCAAAGAAGAAAATAACAGGATTAATTAGCTTCCATTTTAATTATCCCATCTTACCATGACTTTTGATATAAGTAAATCCCCAGGAACTCTATGAAAAATCATTAAGGAACACCTTTTCATACAGAATGCAAACAGAGCTTCATTGAAAAAAGAAATGACTTTAAAGTATAGACCTCAAAATAATATTAATTAATGAACATAAATTTTCTTCAATACCATGTTATTAGAAATGCAATATTCATGTATGTTGTTATCTGCAATGTTTAAGATTAAGATTGATTAAATGAAGATAACCTAATATGAAAAAAATATTCTCAATATTAATCTATTAATGATTATTACATTTTTGTATCAATAATAATTCATAGAGTTACATTGTAGGTATCTGTAGCATTACAAATTGGTTGAGATGTAAACAATTTTTTTTTTGTAAAGAAGCATTACCAAAAATAACAAAATAACAAAAATAACAAAATACGTCAACAAAAGAGGGGATGGATTTTATATCTATAGCCCACTCTGTTTCAGTGCACGATTAAAGCCGTCGTCTTTTACATCACGGCTACAATCATTATTGTAAGCTGCTGGTGAGAAGAGTGGATTAAAGAAGGGGAACAACTCTACTGAAATTAACTACATTGATTTCTTAGACTGTGTATAAAGTTCGCGCTCTGTCATCACTGAAATCTATTCTGTTCCTGAGACTTGATTATCAGCAATAGGACCATGAATTTATCCAATTTGTCCGATATTAAGGAGTTTGGCGAAGATCTATTGACACTTTTACTCAAGAAATACACCTCCAGTAAACTTAATGTAAGTACTAAACACTTATCTTCCACAATTTCGATGTTTCTCGAATTTCATTTTGAATTGTTTTGTTTTTTCTTACCTTTTTCCCCCTTTATTCTGTTGTTACATTTGTGTACTCCTCTTGTAATAATTGAATTGCTTAGTATTTTATGTAATTTAAGGGTTAGGGTTCTTGAGATTGAAATAAAATTAAGAATGAAATATTAAAAAATTAATTGCATGTAAAAATTTTAACAATTTTAACTTTGCATTAACACTTTCGAGCAACAACATTTAGTTTAATTAACAGTCAGTGATTAATGGGTGTAAATTAATGAATTTGGGTAGTTAAAAGAAAATTTGCAGCAGTTCGTTATATATACTTTTCAGTAACATTTAAATCAATTTACAAAATAGCACGTGTGTATCGAAAGTTGATACAATAAATTTATTTACCGTTCTACACTTAACTGAATATTAGTTAACTAAGTTCATTTTTTTCTTGTTCCTTTACATAAATCGACAAAATATAAATAAAATCTAACTATATGGAGACGATGCATATAAATTATCGAAGCATTTGGAAACTATGATTATACATTGTTAAAAAGTATTGTATTTTAAAATTAAGATTAAGAATTTCCAAAAAAGCGGATGAATAAAAAATGTCTGCAGTTTCGTTTAAAGTCATTATTTTATAAATTCTATGGTCGATAGAATCTATCTTCAGATCAAATGCTGACTGACGTTCTGCATACTAATTAATAGGTCGTTATTTACACACTGAATTGTCGACAGATTTTTCCCGATAACGACAATTTAAGGTGCACACGTCGAGTGTGACCGGTCGTCAGGGAATGCTTACACCACCATAGCACCCGATCCCACCTATGATTTTTGGAGGTCTGTATTTGCTCTGCTCCAAAATTTGAATTGTTTAATTGACTTATGTGCTTAAATACTGTTTGTTATGTCCATTTTAATATTCCATTGCAGTAAAAAAATAGTGTATAATGTTGCAACTTATAAAGTCGTACTTATAATTTATTCATTTTATTCTATAATTAAAAAAAACAAGGTACAGTTTCAATACAAATAAAGCCCTGTATTTTCCTTCTAAAATTTGAAAACAATATAAAAAATTAATTTTCATTCTTTCTGATTCCGAGGAATTTCATGCAGTAAAAATTCACCAATTATTTTTCTAATATGACCTCCTAAATGCTAATTGTGACGCCATTAACTCGTGTATTTTCCTGTATTTTCTGAAAAACTTGTAGAAGACATCAAATTTCAGTGAGGATTTTCCGAAAACATACTCTGCCACTGTCACCCATAAAAATTTTGAGATTTGTGATTTTTTCAAAGCAGTTTACATAATATATCAACGGTGGCAGACATTATTCTCTAACGGAAAATAAGCACAGAAATGAGTCATTCTGAGGCTTTTCTGCATTAAACTTAGAAATGTACTAAATTAATGACGTTATATATCTAGAATGGTCCTCCTTCATGCCACATATTCTTAAATGTTTTATCATATTCATCTACTTAACTCCTGTAAAAGCAATGTCATAACTTTGTAAGATAATTAAATTTTTAGGGCATAATAAAACCCATATCGTACCCTCTCCTTTGATTTTTATATTCAAAATTTGATTTCTATTATAATTCAGATTTGGTAGAGGTTTTTTGGTGACTACGTTGTTTAACATGATTTACTTCACAAGAGTATTTCGTTGCTTTATTTATACTAATTTGATATTTTAATTTAAATTGGAAAGTTCTATAATAGAATATATTTTTTGGCACGAATACCTCAAAATAATCTTTCGTCCTACCCCTCTATTTCTCCCCTTGAAAATATAGAGAAAACTTGTGTAAGTAGTAAATAAGTTTTCTGTTCAGTTCAGTGAACTGTTCAGTGATAATATACTTTTTCATGTGAGAACCATTGCTGGATTAAAAAAAATCTCTGAGGAAGAAATCTAAATGCTGAGGACCTTGTTAAAGCTATTTTTTCCATTGTGTGAGAATTTATTTGCTACACAAAACCTTCTTAATGATCGACTGGACCACTATTAGCAGAGAAGGGCAATACTATTACAGTAAAACACCAGTCCACTTCCGCCATTATTGCAATATTTCATCCCTCTTCCGCGCGATCTTATCTAAATTAAAAAAAATATTACAGGGTAATAAGGCGCATAGGAAGTAAGAGATACTTTATGATAAATCTATCTTTCCATCAAGACATTGACGAGTCAAATACTAATTGTTTGTCCATTATTTACACTGAATTGACGACGAATTTTTCCGTTATTTCCCGATTATGACAAGGAGCACACAGCAGGTGTGAAAACTCGCTCCTCCATGGCACCGGGTCCCACCTCCGATGTTTCGGAGGTCCATGTTTGCTCTGCTCCTATTTTGTATCATTTTATGGACCTTTGATCTTAAATACTGTTTGTTATATTATATGCTCCATTTATTTCAATCAAACTCTCAACCGGTGCATCTGGTCAACAGGGGATGCTTATTATTTCCTAGGTACCTGATTCTATCTCTAGTATAAACAGGGGTCTGTAATTTTGCTTTGACCAGAATTCGATTTTATAGTAACATTATGGAATTGATTATGACAGGTTATTTTTTTTACAATTAAAGAATACTGTGAAAATACAAGAAAATTCAGGTAAATGTAATGAATATATCCGGTATTCATTTGATGATCATAAATATAGTCACGTATTGATAAAATCTAAATATTACAGGTATGAAAATTTATGAGACATAAATGCACTTTAGAATTATAAACTTTTTCTCAAAAACCTGCACCATTTTTATATTCCAATTATTAATTTCTAGGAAAAAAATAATAATGCATTAAATGCGTGCACTCAATGTTTTCAACCTTAACTTTAAGATAGTGAATCCTTAGGTAAACGTTATCTAGTCGAACACTCTCTATACGTAAAGAGGCACTTGAGCACATACATGTATTACGCTAGCTGTTGATTTCTTTTAATTACTTTAAGACTTTTTTAGATTGCGTTTAATTTTTACGCTGTTTGTCATGGTTACAAGTAGACAAATTCAGTATTTAAGAAACAATTTATTTTTGCATTCTATTAATGTGAAATTTAAGAAGTGTCAGTCGTCCTTATGAAAGAAATATTAACAAGTCTTGGAAAGAAATCGTAATTTGTAGATTAAATTCTTCTAATTAATGAAGAAAAAAGTAAACTGCTCGGATCACCAGTCAACATTTTCAAGTAACTCATATATTATGTTTGTATATAAATCTTTCTAAGAACTTCTTTTGAAATACATAATCATATACATAAGGAAAGTAAATTATAAATACAGCGAGAAAACCTGACAAGGGAAAGTATTTTAAGGGGAAAGGGATAAAAATCTGTAGGCGTTTAGATTAATATTTAGTGCACTTTTTAACGTATCGTCCCTTTCTTTATTGACACAATTTACACTTGTAAATGATAAAAACATTATTACACAATTTAGATAGTAGAATCCCGGTCCAAGTGCTCGAAAGTGTACCTTATCATAAGTTGAGGGAAATGTATTAATGTAATTTTGCGGTTTAAATTGTATTGAAATTATATTTTCTGGGTTTTTTTTTCTAAGAGTTTTTTATGGACAAGCAATCCCTAACAAAATAATACTACAGTTAACAATAATGAACACTTTGCCACTGATTTACTACAGTGAACACTTTGACACTTTGATTTCAAATAGTGATAAGTATGAAAACTTTGATTTACCATGGTGATCACTTTGATTTACTATGGAAAAACTCTGATTTCATGTCGTGATAAGTTTGAAGACTTTGATTTGTATAGTGATAACTATGACACTATAGTGATCACTTTGAAGACTTTAATTTGCTATCTTTGAAACTTTGATATACTGTAAATAACTATAGTAAACTATAGTATTCTTTGTTACAGATGAATTGAGCCTAAAATGGACTGCACATACTACTTTAACTGTAAAAAAAGAACCCCTTAGTAATCAGTTTAAAAAAATCATTTTTTTTTACTAGCATCGATAAAGTAACTGCTTAAGAAAACAACGAACGGTATTGTTTTACCAGCATAAGAACATGTGTCTGACTTAAATCGACGTTTAACTTACAAACATCACAATCAACATGCGACAAAACCTAAACACTTCACAACTCTGACGAGCAAACACTGAAAATCAGCTTCCATGTAATGTTTATTAAATTAGAGAAGCGTAGATATCGCGGATCAGATCTACTGGGTCCAGACAATGACGTTCATTACGGAAACAGTTTATAGAACCTCATTTTTTACAGATCTCGCCTTGTGAGATTTCCAGTTGTCAAGGAATGAAACAAATGGAGATAACGAACAGTATTCAAAAGTCCATTAAACAATGCAAAATAGGAGCAGAACAAACACGAACCTCAAAAGCACCAGAGGTGGGATCAGGTGCCATGAAGGAGTGAGCATCCCCTGCCGACCGGTAACATCCGCAGTATGCTCATTCATAATCGGGAAATAACGGAAAAATCCGAAATAAGAAAGTAGAATATAAGACAAATTAATAATTTGTCAGTTGTATCTCTGTTAATTACAATTTGCATTTTATGATGTGTGTTTTAATCAAAGTGCTTTCAAGGTTATATTTAGGTCTTTCTTGATTAAATCTGCAATGATTCTGTGGGGGAGGGGATAGAATGATTTTGACAAATTAGGTTTTGTATTCGAGCAAAAACATTACTTTACAGATAGAAAAATAGTTCCGAGAGGAACATTTACATTTATGTATTTGTTAATATTAAATAGACATAAATATTTTATAAGGTAATGAAAATAAAAATAACGCAAATAGACGTGTCTATCAAATCAAAATATATCATACAAATAAATATTCACATTTGCTGATGTTTTTCTTTATGTAACAATGCTAATAAAATTGAAATTCAATTTTCAATGGCATGCAATTGTTCACATGATCAGACATTCTTGCATATA